TCTCGGCGAGTGGGGGGCCAGGCTGGTCACTGAGACCACGCCCTCTCGGCTGGTGGGGGACAGGCTGGTCATTGAGACCACGCCCTCTCAGCTGGTGGGGGACAGGCTGGTCACTGAGACCACGCCCTCTCAGCTGGTGGGGAACAGGCTGGTCACCGAGACCACGCCCTCAGCTGGTGGGGGACAGGCTGGTCACTGAGACCACGCCCTCTCGGCTGGTGGGGAACAGGCTGGTCACCGAGACCATGCCCCCACAACCCAGGGAAGGGGGCAGGTCGGTCACTGAGACCGTGCCCACCGAGTCCAGAAGTAGACATAATACCCAGGAAGGATTTTCTGACCTTCCCTGTAGCTGATCACCCGTCCTCGGGCACCCCGCACCTGGAGGGAGCAGTACCTCTTCTCTGAAGGACGTGGAGGAGGCTAGGCGGCAGGTCTTGACACGTACCCTGGTTATCCCCTGGGTTCCCTGTTGTCCTGTCATGGATCTTCGTAACTGTCCATGTCTGCATCACATTTAGCCTAAAATACACAGATTTAACAATTTGTTTTGTATCTTATGAAGGCTCCCATACCATTAAACATACAGAAATTAATCTGTGTGCTTTCCTCTTTATTAATCTGCCTTTTGTTATAAGACCCAGCTGGGACCTAGGATAGGTGAGGGAAGGGTATTTTCCTCCCTACAAATGATGATTGATACTAGTTTTGAAAATAATGAATAACTCTGTGCTTTTATTTGTTTATTCTTGGGAGAGATGATTTAACACACTAATTTGACATGTTCAAAAAGACAGGGCAGAATCACTTCATCTTGTTCAAGTACCACTATAAACATACTGGGTTTCAGAGCTCTTAGTTTGCTTTGGCAACTTGGGGAGAGCTGACCATTGGCAGCCTCATGGCCTCCTTCTGTCCCCAGGTTCTCCTGCCTCTTGGGGAGGAATGTTGGTGACAGCTGGGCTGAGCAGCTGTGGGGAGGAATGTTGGTGACAGCTGGGCTGAGCAGCTGTGGGGAGGGCGTTGGTGACAGCTGGGCTGAGCAGCTGTGGGGAGGGCGTTGGTGACATCTGGGCTGGGCGGCGGGCGTGTGTGCGTTGGTGACAGCTGGGCTGAGCAGCTGTGGGGAGGGCGTTGGTGACAGCTGGGCTGAGCAGCTGTGGGGAGGGCGTTGGTGACAGCTGGGCTGAGCAGCTGTGGGGAGGGCGTTGGTGACAGCTGGGCTGAGCAGCTGTGGGGAGGGCGTTGGTGACAGCTGGGCTGAGCAGCTG